AACTGTGATCTGATCGTTTTTAAAAACACAGTAAGATGAAGTGAGAAGTGTTATACGGTCCCCTTGGTACTGGTGGAGAATGGCAAAGTAGAGACTTTGGGATACTTCCTGCTGTGTCATTGGTATTAAACTAAGTCCTACACAGTAATTAACAGCTTAGCAAATATGAACTCAGTCCTTGAATAGCCACAGCCTGGAGCCCAAATATCAATGCTCTGTTCCAGGTCAAAACAGATGACCTACAGAAGGACTGAGTGGAAGCAGTCCCAGTTTGCACTTGGCAGCAGGATGCAGTGTCCATCGGTGGCTGCGAGCGCCCCTCGGGCCAGCCCTGCGGTGGTGCTGCCCAGCAGGCCCCCCCTGTCCTGGCTATACTCCTCACACCTCTTTAGTCCCAGCCTTTCAACGCCATCCTGCCCAGTGGCTAAGCAGTTTTGTGTGTAATGCAGAGGGTCTAAAATTTTTCTTCAGCTGTGGAAATACAATGATTTCCCTTGGTTTTTGTTCCTGTATGTCTAGGAGATCTAAAGGTAAAGTTTGAACTTAAGGAAACAAAGTAAAACAGATGAAGTCTAGACCTGAAGGGTGTCTTCTGTAATGCTGTAGACTCGCTGTTTAGGAAACACACACTTTCTCCTCCTATGTCCCTCAATATCATCTTTTTTTTTTTTTTTTTTTTTTTTTGACATGCAATGGCAGGTACATTAGTTGCCTAGGTACTGAGTAAAGATTGTGCGGAAAGCCACAAACATATTTGAGGCCTGGGATCTTTAGTGGAGAGCCTATTTAGCTTTATCAGGAAGAATGTTAAGAGTTGATTTGCTTCGTATAAAGTACCCTCATGGTAAGACTGTACTGGTCACCAAAAATGATTGAATGGCTCAAGAGAATGTGTGGAGACTGGTGAAGTACATCTCAGCCACCTGGAACCTGAGGTTTAGCAAGCTCAAACTTAGAAATTTGGCTTTACTTTGAAAGGGTGGCATTGCTAGGAAAACCCTCCTAAGGAGTCATTGTATATATCCTCCTCTTTTTAGAAAAGTCATTGTCTTGTCTTTGACCTGTGTTAGCCAGGTATGTACTTAAATAGAAGGTTATTTGGTTCTATACAGGGTTACTGAATTGAAATTAAAAGGGTGGTGATAGATCAGAGATTAGAAAGGGCGACTGTAATGGTCCATTCTTGCCTTAAACTTTCTGAATTTATAACAGACCAGTTTCTCACCTGCATGTGCCAGATGAGTGGATACTCAAAACTGGGTGTAGGTCTAAGCCAACAGCCATGAATCCTAGAAAATTCAGGATATGATTGTCATCCTTGTTGATGAGAAGAGGACATACCACCACTTCTCCTGTTGTTGAGCATAGTGCGTAATAAGAAATATCCTGGTGATCAGGTGCTTTGGAGAGTTGTCATGGAAGAGGCTGACCAGCACCTACTGTTCCAAAGGCTGAGTCTCTTTTGTAGTTTCCAAATAGCTGAAAGCTGCCATCCGCCGCCTCTGTCTGCCAGTCAAGACGATCATGTTCTCAAGTATCCATTTCATCGGCGGGGAAGTACATGAGAATTTGGACTGTGAAGACAATTATTACCTGCAACTGCACGCTGCCAAGATGCGGTTACAAGTTGGGTTTCAGTTTCACATTTCTTATTTGCTGTAACTATGTGGACTGGCTATGGCATTTTGCTCAATGTTTTGGCTTCATGAAATCCATCTGCTGGTATCTTCTTACTTAAAAAACATATTTTGCATGCAAGTTCCTCAAATAGCCAATGCTTCCCCAACTCCCACCTTTTTAAGGAAATACAGCTTGAGTAGCCACGTGTGCTGAGCAGCGGCATTTGGAAGAGTGGAAACAAATTACTACGATCATAAGGAAGGAGATGGGACTAGGTATGTATTGCCGCTTGCTTCCATTATTTCAGTTGTAGTTTGGTGTACAGACCTCTAGCAGTTGGGTGACTTAAGTGAGGCACCTGAAATTAGAAACCGCTTTTAATAAACACTGTATAAATAACATTAGTATGAGGGATTAAAGGAAGAGCACTGAAGGAATTTAAGGGCATGGGGTTGATGGTTCTCCTTACGACGCTCCTTCGAACCTGTGACCAAATCCCACTGTTTACCCTGTGGTATTACTTACTCTGCTGTGCCAAGGCAGTTGTCTCTTTTGGAAGAGGTAAGGGTTTCACATATGTACCATATTTTAAGAGTGATTGATTGGCTTCAAGGAATCAGAGTTTTAATTACACCTAGGTAATTCTGCTAACTAATAAATATACTTAGCACTAACCTCTTTGTGGCTACTCAGAAATATCTGCCTGCGCAGTCTGAAGGATTGCCTATGCTTTTAACTCATTTTTTTTCCTTGCTAACATCGGTGCTGGGCTCCTCTGTTCTCTGGTAAAGGTAGAAGTGGCATTGTTCCTCCTTCTAGGACAAGGCATGCTGCCTGCGTGTTTCTACCTCTGAATTCACAGCCAGGCTTCACCCAGAAGGTACTGACATAAATAATTTAATTTTGTATTTTGAAGGTTCCCTCTGGTCATATAAAATGGATTACATTTGAAAGTGGTTTCCTTAATCAATTATTCTATTGGCGTTTGATGATCTTAAAGGTCTCTTCCAACCTAGACGATTCTATGATCTGAAGACATGAAGTTGTGCTGAATGCACTTGGATAGAGCATACCCCTTCAAGTAACTTCTGGGTTAAGAACCTTAAGCCAGATCTATTTAACAAATGTTCAATTAACACGTTCTCCGCTGCTCCCGTGGTAGCGTAGCTTTGTGATATTTCTGCAGAATGGCGCACTGCGAGCGGTTTGGATCTGAGAAGTGGTTAGCAATGTGTGGAACACAAGTCAGGGGCTCTGCTGTGAATTCCTCTATGAATCTGTTACGTGATCCTGAGGAAGTCGCGTTGCCTGTCCCTTCCTGCTTCTTCCCCCCGTCCCATCTGCTGACAGTACTCTACTTAACATGTTTCCTTTGAAAGGTAGTAAATATAGCATTTTAGAGTCCAAACCTGTATATTTTTCAACTAATTTTATACTGATACCATTCCAGCTGGATTAGATAAGGCACATAAAGAAGAATTTGGTCTTCACCTGTTGGTATCACACATCTTGAACCAGACTTAAAGGTATTATTTCCTGCATAAACAAGCCACAGACATATAACCTCATGAGGGTATTTGCTCAACCCTGTGGTTCTGAAAATCCAGATCACTGTGTGCAGGCACTGTGTTAAACATGTCTTGTTCAAAAGTATCGAGCACATTCAAGTTGACACTTATGAATTCCCATGAGAATATAAAATCTTGCATCCTACAGGAAGAAAAAAACCCACAAAACTTCCATATTCTATCCTGATACCACGCACTGAAGTATTTCTTAGTCGGCCACTGATCAATTCTACTTAGCAAGTTAATTTAAAAGTAGTGTTTATTTATGCCTTCCATTTGTCTGCATGGTAGGAAGTAATAGTTTCACTTTGCCTGACAACAGCATACACCTTGTGTGCTGCAAAGCAGTAATTGTTTGAGTTGATAACATTTTTCTCAAAAAATTCCGCTGAGCACACTTCAAAAATGACATTTGTTGAATGATTTACAAAATGCAAAAGTTTGCTTTTCTTCAAGTTTAGTTACAGAAACCATTTAACTGCTTAGACCTCCCCAAACCCAATCTTTCCTAATAACATATAAAGATTCTGCTCGGTAGCTATGCACTATATGCATATGTGTGTGTATATGTATTTACATAAAGTGTAAATGCAAAGCCCCATCTTCATTGTGTAGTGTGACGTGAAATATGGTCACCAGCATGCATGTATGACAGTAGGCTGTGCAGTGGAGGCAATGCACGCATAGCTGCCTTAGCTTTCCCTGTAAATCTGAGGTGGCATGCACTGTGTAAGTCTATATCTAGATAATCTATGCAGGCTTTACCACAGAGAGCACACAAGCTTCATCTACAAAATGTATTTTACAGAGATTTCCACAGGGAAGGGAAGCATCTAAATAGCTTAGTAGCTCTGGAATAAAATATATGGCAATTCTGAGATTTTTCAAATGGTGCTGTATTGGCTTCTTTTTGAAAATGTAGCTGGATGATGCCTGTGCCCATCTTTCAGACAAGCAACTACTCCATTGAGCGTTGCTGATCGTCCAGATGAGATCCAAAAGCAGAGCTCCCACTTCGCTAGGCTCTACCATGCCGCAGCTGGTGATGGACTCTTCTGGCTGTGATATCTTCTGTCTTCTGATCGATGCCATTCTGCTAAGCAAAAAGAAATACAATATTCATAGGGAGGAAGAGAGAAAGCAAGGAGCTATGTCTTAATTTCTCAATGATGCTACCATGCAAGCAGAAATGCAGACACCTGGATTTTCGTCCCCACTCTCCTTTTCAATATGCTACACATGACCCAGCATCTGACAGAGAAAAGGAAATCTCTTTTCAGATATCAGATCCCATATTTAGAAATTAGCATCAAGTCCTATTTCTGTGCCAAGCAGCTCCTGGCTAGCTGAAGAAGCTATCTCACTACTCCCACCTGTGGATCTTGTATTACGAAACTAGGTAGAGGTTTCTTTAATGGTCTCTTTAAATGAAAAAGCAATCTGCTAGGTCTCCTCGAAAGACTTTTTTTTTTTTTTTTTTTGATAGGTCAAATGTGATTTTCCATGTAGGATTTGGCCAAGACATATAAACTACTGTCTGCGAAGTAGTGAAAGCTTTGGAGCCTTAAAATGACCATTAAGTAATATATACAAACATCTATTTTTGTCTCAGATAAATATCTGCGCATGCTGCTGCTATCATTTAGCAGCACTGTTAAGCACTGTCTCAGAAATTTTACTGTTGCATCACCTCAACTCAGCTGCAACTGCAGATTGAACAAGAAGGAAAGCAAAGCTTCCTCTACATTTTCTGCAGCTTGTATATCAAAGCATTACAAGGATAAAATAAATGGGGGGGGTGGGGGACACATGACAGGAGGGTGTCAGCAACAAGTATAGCTGAAAGCAGCCTATTTGCTTTGTGTATTTTAATAGAGAGCTCCTGCTACACTGAAGCCTGCGTGTGGCTTAGCAATAGCCTCCTCTGTGTTGCCCTAGCCCCGACTCATCATTTGCTGCACAGCTAGGACTAAAGGCTGGACCCTGCCTTTAAGACACAGCGTCTTAACCTTGCTTTGCCCTTCTGCCAGACAACAGCCGCTTTGTTTCCCTTCACTAACAGTCAGACATCACAAATTCCTTCTCTTTAAAGCCATTAAAACAGAACCAGCACCACCCCAAGTGGTTTCAGAACTAACTGATTTAGATGCTGGAGTCTGCTGCAAGGCCAAAAATAACTCCCCATTTCTTTCTCCTTCATTGGTGAAAGTAGGAGGGAAAGTGGCCAATGACAAAGACACAAATCCCCCGTAGGCATCAGAGACAAATCTATTTCATGGCAGGAAAAAAAAATAATGCTCTTGAAAAAAATGTTTCTTTGCTCTGGCCAATAGATACAGAACTGCTGCATGCAATTTTAAGATGGTATCGCTTGAATGGCTCACAGACTACATAAAATGCATTACATAATTATATTTTTAAACACTGTCCCCAGCTGTGCTGATGCACATAAAAGCTGTGTTTACAATGGACTCTGCACATGTAATTATTTTGTGGCACTAGCTCTGTGTGTTTCCTTGATGGATGCTCCATGGTGCATATAATTGTAGCTTTATCATACGTTCTTGAATATATTCTTTGGCTGTTTCGGCTTTAAATACCCTGTTGTCCTTGCATGGTTGAACAGGACTGATGCCTGGAAGGGCTAAATTATAGCATCTGAGGGAACACCTTTAAGTCCCCTGGGAGCAGCAGAGGGGGAACATGATGAGTGTTGAAGTCCAGGCACCTGGGTCACGGGAAGCACCGAGCAGCTGAGCTGGCTGCTCCTCCGCAAGGTTTGCTGTGCTGTTCCCTGGGACAGAGCAGCAGCTCCTCTGCTCCTGTTTGGCCTGCACATGCTCATCCCGGCCTAATTAATGCTGCATGGACCCAGCTGCCTTGCAGCACAAGGGAGGCCAGGCAATGCCTTACGCCTGTGTGAGGGCAGGAGCGAAGGGGCTGGAGGCTGACGGTGCAGAGTCAAACAGAACGCAGCCCGGATGGTCGGGATCAAAGAGCAGCTTTGATTTCTGTTTGCATACAGCGAGCGAGCTCCTGGCATTTCGCTGTGAGCTCTCCCTTGTCTGTTCTCCATCCACTTGTGGAATACCTAACGCTTCTTAATACTAGCGCAGTAGCTGATGTGCAGGACCCAGCGAAGAGGACAGTGGGATATTTATCTTAGATCTGTTCCAGTGTTCTTGAGTATTAATGTCCCTGTGAAAACCTAGATGCTGGAAGGATCAGTACACATCACAGTCCAAGAGTTTTGCCTGCCAAGCAATAACACTTGGAAATAAATAAAGACAAAAAGTAATACAATATCCTGAACAACAGCTTCAAAATGATGGAATAGCATCATCACAGGTAACTACCTTTTTTTTTTTTCTGTTGCTGCAAAGAACTGGCAGACTTTGATTGCTAATAAGCAAAATGGTTTGGCGTTTTACCTCTCATCCCTGGCTAGCCTTAGATATGAGACTCCACAAAAGAAATGTGGATTTTGTTGTGGGCCGGTTTATAATGGCAGGTGTTTTATTGGAAGTCAGGCCTGCTTTCCGGTAGTAGATAGCTTGAATTCCTTTGTTATCATTCCTTACCCTTTTCAGTCCTCTGTTTGGTTGTGGAAGCTGGAAGCCTATGCTTCCCAAAGGCTAGTTACACCATGTAAAGTAATTGGTCTAATGCTAATAGTGACTGAATTATTCAACAGCAAATGGCCCAACGGTTTTCCACCCTCACGTGAATAGTGTCTTTTCCTATCATGGAAACTGTCCAGCTATGGATGTCCTTAGCATTCCCTCTGTTTGGCATGTGAAGTTTACATACCAGCTTCTAGGCTGTTGATGCATTTTGCACCAAAGGGTCAGGCGATGGAAGAACAATCCTTGGAGTGGAAAAAATGTGGAACTGCAAAAGTATATTGTATGTTTGCTTGCATAGTCTGCCTTTCAGATAAACCACATCCCTGCAGGTATACTGGCACTTGAAAAAGAGTCTTTGGATAACCTGCACAGAAGCTGAACCACCAGAGGTGCTACTTCAGAAAAGCAAGCAGATGAAGGTACCAGCAGTAGTGCGGGGGAACCCCTTGTATTGTTCATATACACGTCCATCCTGTTTATGAATAACGTGCTTGCATTATTGCTCTTCCACATTGGTCACAGTCCCTTGCTGCAGCCCCTTGTGCAAGACTTTTGTGTTTATCTTTATGGTACATGGAGATAAGAATTGCCTGCCTTTTGCAAAATGTTGGTGTTGCGTACAGACAAGAGTAAGAGTCCACGCTGAAGTTAGTGCAAATTTTGCAGTTCAACAAGAACAAAACAGCCCTCTTAAGACTACTGTTTGAACCCTGACCTTTGCCTTTTTGTGTCTCTAAGTCCCCAGAAGCTTCTGTTTCCAAAAGCAAAATAACGCTTTAAGAAATCAAAGTTCAGTGTAAATGATGTCATGGCTATAGGGGTTGAGGGGGTTGAGGTGTCATCTTTTTTGCAGTAAGTCCCTTTTGGAAATGTCCGATAAAGCCAGAAATAAAATGGGACTTATTTTACAGATTTTTGGAGCAGTATAATTCCATTCTCACTATATTATTATCTGTGAGAAGCTTTTCCTTTTTTAATTCCATAAAGCTCTATCACTATATTATCTGAGCAGCTAAGTACTCAGATTATGTAAGTTGAACATAATAGGATGTCTGTAAAACTTTGCTGCTTACAGCCTTGGAAATTTCTGCGTTGCTTTTCTATGGTGACTCAGCTGCAGATCTCCCATATGATCTAGGAGAATGCGTGGTGGGGTGGGATTTCCGTCCTCTGAAGGAGTTTGGCGTGGTCCTCGGGTACGACCTCAGCTGCAGCCTTGCTCTCCTCCCACATCCCCTGAACTTCTCTGGGCAACCTTTAACTGCTGATCTGCGGATGCTTGCTGTAGTTCCTGCCATGCATTTCAGTTCTGTCCTTCTAGGAATGTTTACCTTATGTTTTCAAAGCAATCCACCTTTTGATTTGCACAGCGGGAGAGTTCGCCTGTTGTACCAGATAGCAACCTCAATATGTACTTTCACAGTCTGTTTCTTATAGAGGATATTTTTGGCCCCTAAGTGATGTTCTAAGAATAATTCTACCAGTGCTATTTTTATGATATGTATAGCTTCACGGTGCATTACTAACCATATGGCCAAGCATAGTACATGCAGCTACATGGCAGGGTTTACTGTCCAGTAGGAATGAGAAGCGTGTATTTGGAATAGATGTGTATTGGGGGGAAAAAAATTCAACTTCAAAGGTACAGGCTTAGGACCTTTATTGTTTCTCTTGGTTCTCCCTTGGTTTTAAATGAGGTTCGGCATCATCTCCCTTGGAACGTCACTGCAATAATGTGGGCTCAGAGCAGGTGTTTTTGCTTTGCCTTGCTGATGACAGTCAGGAGATAAAATGCAGAGGAGTAAATTCTGCCTGGCTGCTGCAGGTTGCATCACTCAACCGCTGGTAGGTCTCTGAGAAGTGTTACTGATAGCTAGATTTTATCTTGGCAGGGGTAAGAGCTCATGAAACGGGATGGCTCAAGGAATGACTAATGAAAGCTTTATGATGAAACTTCTGTCTAAGCCACGTCAACTGCGACCGAAAATTATCACCGGAGGGTTATTTGACCTAGGGTGAGTGAGCAGGTGCCCTGAGTCCAGCTTCTGGTAGAGATGCGTCTTCAATGTAAAATCCACTGCCTCACTTTGTATCAATTAACGTCAGTGGGGAAAAACCACAAATGGTGATGTGGCATGGTGGTGAACTACGCTCTTACCCCTCAAGTGGCTTCTCCGATTTAGAGCTGGACCATTTAATGAGGCAGATGATATTGCCGTTACTTTGGGTTTTTCTCTTCTGCAGATAAATCATTCCAGTCAGATGTATACACACAGCTGTGTTTTGTGTGTTCACGCGGAAACGCAGACTCCAGTTCTCTCAGGAACAGTCCCAGCTACTCAACTGGGACAACATTATCAATACAGGCATCATAATATTTAGGTGGGCCTCCTATGCAAATGTCACAGGGAGTCCCCCTGCGTGACTCTAATTTATTACTCTACCAAAATATCCTTTTTCAGCTCCTTGATCCCAGTCCCTGGGATTTACAGTGCTTTAAGGGGGTATCTTTGCTTTTCTTATGACATCAGTAGCTCCTGTACAATCCCAAATCGTTAGATACGCACTTAAGTCAAGGTGGAGGTTTCACCTAGTGTATTGACTTAGTACGCTCAGTAAAATCACCTACCGCTTTATTATGCCAGTGATCATGCCCTGCTTTCTGTAAAACAATGTCCAATTTCCCTGTGTCTGCCATAAGGCATTATTTCCCCTGAGGAAGAACAAAATCCACCTTTTGGGAGGGGTTGCAAACGAGGCAGGATGTGCTCAAGGTGCAGGGGGTAGAAAGGGGATGTTTGCCAGCTTTGCTCTAGGGAGTTGGAAGACAAGGCGGGAATTGGGGAAGTCCGAGCTTTAGCCTTGACTCGGATAATGATCTTCTGTGTGGCCTTTTGTACCCTCTTTCTGTTTCCACTTCATTTTGCCCAAACCTAAAATGGAGTTCAAAATTGTCATTGCTCTAACACCTCCCCCTCCCCACACACACACGCAGAGTTCTGAGAAGGTTTAATGTTTATCTCGGAGGCTTTGAACAGTAACATACATCCAGGAAATGTATACGGGCATTCAGACCCCAGAATGAGCTTTACAAAATCATCAGGAAATCAAATGGCACTTATATTAATCATAAATTTGGGATCGGAACAAAATATGTGGTTAACAAACCTGCAAAACAAGCTTTGTTTCATTGGCTTGAGCTGCTTTATAGTTCTGTTTGTCTGTGTGGAAGTGATGTTCAGTCTTTTTAAATGAGTCACAGGACTGGAAGAACAAAAATATTTGCTGGTAACATATAGCAGCAAAACAATTACTCTTTTCATTCTGACAAGCACGATAACCAGAATAGCTAGTTAGAGCTAGAGGTCTAGGCTGGTAGTTTCTTCCCATGTATCAGGGATTTTAGATCTGCTTGCAAGACAGTGAAACAGAACTGAAATGTCGTAACAATAAAAAGACAACATTAGATCAAACAATAAAATCAAGCATGCCTATTAGCATACAGCTATTTACACTGATGAAGGCTCTCCTGGTCAGTGAGTCCATGCAGTATTCTCACACGGCGCAGCCTTGCCTAGCAGCTTTCTGTACCTTTATCCAGAGGAGACTCCTTTCCACCCTGCTTGCTGCATTGCACCACTGATTTAGTGAAGACATCATCCTCGTAAGGATGCTCTTCTAACTCACCTCTGAAATCCGCTTGCTTTTCTCCTCTGACAATTAGGTTTAAATGTGCTGCAGCAAAGTACTCATCCTTAGCAGTCGTATGGCTTTTTAAGTGATAAACTGCATTAGCAAATTCCTTATTAGATAATCTATCAAATGAGGTCATGCATAATTTTAGCAGTCTCATCTTGATTTATAGCATGATCGCAGCAAATTATGCATACACAAACCAGCATGGTGGCTGTCAAAGCCAGGTATTTTTACTCTGCTAGAAAAGCTATTTCCAGGCCAGCCCAGTGGCCTACTGGTAGCACTCTGCCCCGTCACAGCTTGCCCAGTTTGTGTTACAGCCCTCGGGCTCACCCCCTCACCTCTTACTAGGACTGACGAGAGTTCGAGGCAGGAGTCTAAATCCTTGCTTCATAACCTCCTAACAGTAATCCTTAATGGTGTTTATTCTGACAGGTTTTCCGTGCTCCCCTGAAGGAGGGGCATAGGCTCACCAAAAGGGTAAGCTTAGGTATGGGGAGACTGGGTCTGCGGGGTGCTGATCTGCTCCCTGCCTCCCTTCTGCCTTCCCAAGGGAATGAAAAGCTCACTGTCGGAGTGAATCATCAGCCAGCGTTGCACACGCCTGTAACGGAGCCTGCTTCGTGGTCCGGGCTGCTGGGGCCGGTGGAGGTTTGGTCGCCTGCACCCACGGGCACTGGGGGAGGCAGTGCTCCGGCTCCTACGGCCATCTGCATTGGGAAGCGTGCCACCCGCCTTGCTAACTGGCAGAAGTGATGAAATTCAGGGAAAATGGGAGGGAGGGTCAGGAACAAACGCTGTTTCTGAACTGCGCTTCGCAACTGCTGTTGCACTTCTGCTCGCTGCACTGCAAGGGAATTGCTCCTGGGATCCGGAAGGGACGTGATTCCTATCCCCCAGCTTCAAACGTCTTCTGCAAACAACATTTCATCCGTGGAGATTTATCTGTAATTACCATAGGGGGGAGCTGCAATAAATTATCTAGTCTTGCCTTTCCCTTCACCTGCTCTCACCTCACTTTGGTATTTCTAGGGTTTGAGCTGTGCGAAGTGGCGAGCGTACATGTCATCTGCGTGTCTCGGAATAAGTTATGCCTCTCCCGCTGGACTTACAGCCAAACCCTCCCCGTGAAGAACAAAGCGGGACAGAACAAGATGTGTTCCTCAGCAGTCCAGGTATCTGCCCCTAAACTGTAAAATAAAAACTAAGTGAAAATCTGAATAAAAATTTCCCTGGGAGATAGGAGATCGTAGAGGCCTAACTATCGCTGCATGAAAACTTCTTGAAACGCTTAATGTAAAGACCTCCATGTTGGCTTTGCAAGAACATTCCTGGAATGAGAGACTGGAAGAAATCAGAGCTGTTTATCAAAATGAATAAGCAAAGGGCACGCTTGCAGCGGATGGCACTGCTTTTTTGTGCACCCTGTGGTAATTTTGCTTAATCCTACTGAATGACTTTGTCATGCATATTATATATAGGTGTATGCATATATGTCATGAGTAAAATCTATTGTATCCGCAGCTGACAAGCTGTGTGGCAGATGGCAGCAGGGCTTGGGGAAAGAAATTCATGACCCAGACTAAAAGAGTAGAGTATAGGACGTCCCTCCAGACCCCATCAGCCGAAATAGCAATTGCACCTCCTCCCCACACCGGTGCCAACACCAGTCTGGGGTCCCTCTTTCTCTCCCCTCCTTTTACCCCTGCCACGGGTGGCTGAAGATGCAGCAGAGAGGATGATGAGAAGGGGTTTGTTTCTTTGGGGGCGCAGATACAGGGTGAAAACTGGGCGAGTGAAGGAGCAGCTGGGTCGTGGCGGCCCCGCAGTGAGGCCATGCCACAGGCTGGGGAGGGGTGAGCGGGCAGGGTTGGCGAGCGTGCTGCAGAAGAGGGGTAACATGCCCCCACGCCCCTGAGGATGTGTGCCGAGGGAGGGCAGGGGGCTCTGCAGGCACCCCCGTGCAAACGGCAGCCTCTCACCTGGGTCTGCGCTGCAAGGGCATTTTCCTCAGCGGCTGCTGAGCGGCACTGACCGAAGCCGTAGCTGGAAGCACGGCAGAAAGTCTCCATCGGTTCAGCGGGCACTGGGCTCCCCGAGAGCCCTGCCCAACCCCCTTGCTGCTCCGGTCCCAGACAGGGACCCCCAAGCAGGCAGGGGAGGGGGCACAGCCCCATCTCCCCACTTTGTCTCTGCGGGGACCCCTGGGGGAGCGGCTGTGCCACCCCTACGGCTCCATGGGGTGATGGGGGGCCCCCCAGCAGTGAGCAGCCCTGGGTTGGCTGCTCCTTCTCTAGACCTGCCTCTGCAGAGGTGCTTGCAGCCATTGGCACGGGCGCTGCAGAGCCGGTTGCCTGGCAGCGCGAACGCGTCCTCTTCCCCATGACAAACATCATCTCCATCGACCCAGACCACCTCCCGTTTCAAATGTCTGCCCAAGCCGGAGAGCCCAGCAAGGGAAAATGCAGCTCACCGAAATGAGCCGAGCAAGTCCCGTTTCATCACTTGGGCGATGGAGAGACCCTTGCCCTAAGCAGCTGCCCCATCGGTGAATTCATCCAGCACCGTAAGCAAAACGCCGTTGTGCTCGGCGATTCAGCCCGGATTAGCACTAAGAGAACAAGCCCCCTTAAAGAAACACATGCTAATTAGAGTGCCTGAATATTTAGCTTTCTGCAAAACTGTCAGAGGATAAGTAATTGTGAAGCTAAGCCCAAGGTCTGCCGCCTTGCTTCTGGGTCTTCAGTTCCCGCTGAAATCACGCTAATGTGCTTGATGTGCCGAAAGAAGGCAAAGCATTGTATCTGGGAGCACAGAGCGGCTCCGGGTCCCTGTGGCTTGTACAGCGTGTGCAGGGTGTTTATCTGCTCCCAGCATGGCACTCGGCTTCCGAGCGTGCCGCTGCATCCAGCTGCTGTGCCGGAGTAACTCAGATGCTGAATAGCACAGCAATCATAGGATTATGAATTTGAGAGACATAAAGATTACCAACTTCAGAGTTATCCATTTTTCTTAAAAGAAAGAAAACCATGATGAGTCAGGCACGTTACCCGCCAGCAGCCTGCTGAGGAGAGCTGTCTTCTGCAGGGAGGGGGAGGACAGGAGGGCGCCTGATGAGTGCGGCGAGGGCGAGGGGACAGGCTGGGAATGGAAGGGGAAGACCAACTGCACGCAGGTGTGGCTGGCACGCCATGGTGCCGGTGCTGTGCAGGGAGCACACGGGAGAAGGAGCCGGTGTACTCTCTGCCCAGGGGGCTGTGGCGTACTGCAGGGACGCTGGATTTGGGCTGCTCAGGCTCTGGGAGAAGCTGGGTTTGGTGGAAGTGCGAAGGTGCCCAGCTGTGCTGAGCTCCACACCACCACAGCCGACCACTGTGTTGTGAGGTAGGGTGGGTATCTCTATGTCGGGGTGCAGTTACCTCTACAGAGATGTAGCATTATGAGACCCTCTCTTCCAGTCTGCAGGAAGGCTGAAATCAGTGTGGCCCTATCAGTCGTTTTCTCAGTCTACTCTGGAACAGAAGATTTGTCCCAAAGAGGCTCAAGCTATGTGAAAGCAGGCACACCAGGTGCAGGGGCAGCTCTCGTCCGACGGTGACTGCTTGGCATGATGTGGGAATGAGTGTCGTGCCATCAGGAAGCCGCAGCTCCATCCTCTGCAATGTCAGCATCGGCCCTCCCCACCCCGGGGGCGGTGGCGAGGGCTCAAGGGAGCCAAAGCCGAGGCAAAGGAGAGGGGCAGAGACCGGCCGCAGGGAGGTGCGCGGCAGGGGCGCGCAGCAGCTTGTCCCTTTCCAGGTGAAGGCGGCAATCTCTGGTGGGTGCTGCACAAGGGGAGCTGTGGCGCAGCGGGCAGGGGCATAGCTGTTGTGGGTGGGGAGGAAGGGCTGCTCTTTAATTGCCAGCCCAAATACGAGGACGAGCTGTCGCTGGTGTGGAAGGTAGCAGATGGCCTAATTCTGAGATTCTTTCTTGCAAGAGCAAAATGATATACTGTTTTTACCATCTTTGCCTAGAGCTGAGTGCTAGCTGCAGATACTACCAAGATATACTGTACAGAGGCACTTCGTGCCAGAAATGTGCTCTAGTGATAATCAGGAGAAAACTCTGCTTGAAGTGACATTTAAAAAATAATTATTATGGCCCATTGCTGTTAGTCACACATCCCAAAAGCTGATCTGGCTAACAGAGCTTTCCAAAGCTGCTTCTGCTCGACATATCATCTGGAAATTATCCATCACTGTGTCACCGTGTCTCGCCTTGTAACCACCAGGACACCGTCTATGTACGCACACCAGATTTCCCCTCTTCTTGGGGGAAAATAATTCTCTCTATCTTCTGATTTTTACTTTTTTTTCTCGCGCTGCTTCAGCTGGTTTCATGCAGATTCCCGTCTCAGCCGTTTGCTGGAGAGCACAGGCCTTGCTTTCCCAGAGATGGCTAGGAAGCATCGCCACCTTGTCGTGCGTGGTGCGAAGCCCCAGGCCAGCACCACCGCTGCGGAGCTGTGAGGTGCCCCGGAGCAGCACTGTGCTCTGCAAAAACACCAGGCCTGGAGGCAGAGATGGCAGAGCTTGCCTGCGTCACGCTAATATCAGGTGCTTGAAACTTTATATTGAAGGTGCAGGGTCGTTACTGGTGAGTCGTTACGGCAGGTGCATTTTGTCAGCTCCAGCTCTGAGCTGACGACAGGGGCGAGGGCAGCGCTTCTCTCAGCTGGGTCAGGCTTTCAGAGAAAACTCTGGTAAGGGCTTAAGCGGGAGAGCAGACTTTGACTAACCTGTAAATCTGCTTATTATTACTTATCAGTGAGTGCAAAACCCAAGGCAAGGATCAAGCTTGGTCTGGAATCAAGTGAATGCTCCATTTGAGGATAACAGCCCTTTTCTTGCTGATTTTTTTGCAGGCCACTGGATATATTTTTAAGGACTTTTGCCTGCTGAGCATACCGTGTGCTGTCTCTTCCCGCTGGTCCTTTAAACTTCATCATGTTTGTTGGGGTTTTTTGGTAACAAAAGGGCTTTAACGGGTTATCTGTAAGCTTCGTCTCCTATAGTATTGGGATGTATTAAACTTTCTTTAAATCTGCCTTGCCCGTACTGTTCTCCTTCAGAAGACTCTTATCCATGCAGTAGATGTCTGTGCTGCAGCAGACTGTCCTCCTTCCCCTCCTTTCCTCTTAATTTCTTCCCCCCAGTTTGCTCAGAAGTCTCCTGCTAAAAATCCCCCACCTGTGACACACCAGCCCATCTCTCTCAAATCCCACTGATTTCATCTCTCAGCCTCCAATTAAATCTCCCCATCATCCCCTTCAAGGCCCTCCGTGAAGTTACTTTGCCTTTGATCTCGTCCCTCCCACTCCTCCTCCTGCCTGTATTCTCCCAGTCATCCCTCCTTTCTGCACATTTTATCTTGTTCTTGGATGGTTCAATCTTGCTTTTTTTCTTCACGCTCCTCCTGATGCCTCAATCCATCTCCCATTTTCTGTTAGCCAAACATTTTTCCTCTTGTTCTGTCAACTCTACCTCAAATCCCCATCTTTTTCTTCCTTGCTAAGCGGTATCGCCCCGCGTGCACTCACGCGGAGTCGCCTGAGCTGTTGTCCCATGTGGCTTTCCTGGAGCGCGTGTTCTTCACGCCAGGAGTTTGTGGTTCTCCTACAGTGCTCACCCCACAGATACAAACACACAAGGGTCTTTTGAAGAGCAGCAGTTGCTGGTAAGTAACCATCCATTATTAATCCTGTTGCTCATGCGACACACAGAAAACTCTGAACTTTCTCTAGCCGGGTAATAAGAGGAATCTTTTCTATGTTGGTGTGAAGGCACGCTTTGGATGCTCTAGCTAGGTAAACGCATAGAAGTGCATGTTATTTAAACTTCCAGCCACTTAAACTTCCTCCAGGCAAGCAGCAAAGCCATTTGAGGAACATAAATAAGCAGCAGGCTATTAGGAGAGATTTGGGGTCTCACTTCGCTGTATTCCCTTGCACCGCCGCATCATCGCCAGCTGCGTTCGAGTTGCCTTTAACATCTTTACGTTCCTGCACATGGCAAACAATAGGGCCTAACTCCCATGCAGCAGAGGAAATATAGCAGCAAGCGTCTCACGTCCATTTCTCAACTGTCATCAAATAGCTTTTATTCGTGGCATAGCACAAGTGTCAGCCAACTGGCAAAGGCAGCCTATATTAAAAATGTTGGGGATTATTCATGTCAACAGACACAAGGGAGCTTTTCTCCGTCAGTGGATCTGCACTAGCGGTGGCATGAAAATGCAGCAGGTTCTCTAGGGTAATCTCAAATATGAATAACTTCAGGAGGAGGCCAACAGCTGACTGTCACTTCCAAGTGCAATTAAAGAATTCATCTAACGCAATTAGACGAGAGCTTGGATTAGGTGAGAGGTTTAACTGTGTGGATAGATAGAGAAGGCTATACCATAAGGATGTTATGCAGAAAACCAAGATGGTATTTTTTTAAAAATGCTCAGATTCAAGATGGTCGGCAGGTTGTGGCTTCTCAAGTTTGCTTCTGGTTACATAATTAGCTGATAGGTCCTTGGCCTGTTTGATTGCAGGCGTTTACTGCGCTGTTTGGAATATGATTGCCGTTGGCCACGTGATTTGTCTTTTATGGACAAGGTACGATTTAGAAATGGACTAATTCTTTCTCCTTTTAAAAGTTTAAAAAAAAATCCCTGTTTAACTGAAAAGACTTCATATTAAATTTGCAAGGATATTAATAGGGAAAAAAAAAAGATAGACACAAGCAGTAAAATTGCTTACCTAAAAAACATCAGGTAAAGGTGGAAATTGATGGAGGTTTCAGATGTCTCAGGTTAACTGTGAAGGGCAATTCCCCGACCCGTTATTTCCATCCCAATGTACTCACAGAAGGCTATTATATTCTGTCATCTTGCATTTTTTAACTGTTGCTTTTAAAACATATGGCCTGCTTCTTTTCCCCCTCAGTTATTTTCGACTGGTTTAATTCTCTGAACTTGGTGATGTTATGCGGATATGAAATCAGGAGCAATTTAAGTGGAAAATAAAAAATCAAGGCCCATGCAAGTTATCGTGAATAAGGTGACCTGATCTGCTCTGACACAGATCTATGTTCCACTTATGCTCTGGAAAACTCTGGATACTGTATTTTTGTCAAAACCTAATTTCTGTACAAACGTGTGATGCAGAAGAAACCCAACTGGCAAAACCCTCAGATGTAGCACCCATGGCATCTCCATGACAACATATAGAGGCACAGTCTGCTATATACATCGTTATCAGGAGACTAGCTGCTCCTAGATTTTTCCCACGTCGAGCTGAAAGGCAGACCGACCATCAGGGTAGCTGGCTGCAGAGGATGTTGCTGGGATTTAAATGTGGAAACCGCAGTTCATGATTCATGCAGGGTAAGCCGGTGGCAAACGGAGCAGCCTTGCTGGAGAGGTGAGCCTTGCACTGCAGTTTCCCTTGCTGTGGCTGCTTGGTCAAGTAAAGGAATGGGCACTGGCAGGTCTCCAACGAGCCTGAGAAGTCACGCGGAGGACCTTTGCAGGGTTCTCAAAGTCTTCCTGAAAGGCTGTTAGTGTGACTTACCAGCAGAGCGAGATAAGAACAGAAGGTAATTTGGGTTAATAAGTTATCCTGAGAGGTTTTGGGTTTTTTTTCCCTGCACGTGTAGAAAGAAAGGGAGAGCAATCCTGTCCTCTCCCTGGTGGAGAACACTGAACTTCGTTGGAAAAGGTTCGCTCTCCACGCCCTGGCAGCGCATAGGAAACCAGGGTCAGCAGGCCAGGCTGGGGCCACGTGCAGCCAAGGCTTTTCCCAGATGGATGATCCATTCCTCACAGGCAAAGGATCAGACTAGGACCAAGAACAGGAACCTGCCACTCACCATATGTGTGTGTGGTTATCTCCCCTTTTGTAGTCCCCAGTGTTTATTTCACTGGACATAATTGCTCCGTAAACTTCACGTTAAATCACATAATAAACGTTGCCGTGTCATTTACTTGCTTCCCAGAGCAGTTGGGAGGAGGACCACGGGTTGATGAGCAGTCCGCAGGGTCAGGAGGCTGACACTTTCCTTCAGGCTGCTCTGCAGAGGGACTGACCCTGTACAGCCGCAAACGCCGGGCCGGGTCTGCCTTAGGCACTGGTGGCTGCGGTGCACCAGCTCCCAGCTGGATGCTGGAGTCTGAGGAGCGTGGTGAGGATGCACCAGCTGGGATCCAAACAGCGACAGACTCCGTAAATCCCCCCCTCCTGGCTTTCTTCCTAACCTGTCCGTCCCTCAGCTCTTTCCCCCAGTGCTGGTGTGGTTTACGTCACTTCATTCAAGGGTGAGTGGCTTCAGCTTTGCCTTCGCGGCGGCGGCCGGGCGCGCGCGCGGCAGCTCCTGCAAAGCAGCTGAAGTGCTGTAATTTCATACTCCAGCTGACGGTGCAGGAACTTGTTCATCTGCCTGTCCCCGAGCGTAGACACGGTCCTGGCTGCCGCAGGCACTCTCAGCACGGGCGGTGGAGCTGAGTTAGGGTTTGCAGTAGTTAGGGAACATTCCTACTATAAACAAGGCTGTGTGTGTACCCGCCCGAGTAAAGCCAGGTTGGCCTTTTTGTCCTTGTTTCTGACTTCTGGACTGGGGAAGTCTTCTGCTCTCCTACACGCCTCTAAGTAAGGCACCTTAGGCACCTTGCCTCCATTCTCTGCTGCTCAGCTTTCCTTTCAGAGAAACGGAGATAACAATATTGACCTTCTTGGTAGAGCACTTTCTCACTTTTTTTATGAGACATGCTACATAAAAGCTGACTGTTAGGTTTTGTTCAGCTGTAAAAAGTCCTCAGCTTAACAGTGGGGCACGGTACGTTATTGGCCATAAAAAAAAAAACCTTACACTGATCTTCAGCATTTAGGGATAGACCTTTGTTCTGCTTAGTTACTTATAATCTTTGGAGGGCTGTGGCCTGGGTTTGTTTTTTTTTCTTTTTTGCTGCTCTCCGTGTGTGTATGTATTGTGTACATATGGTTGACTTTTGCTTCTATTAGGGCCAAAGATCACTTGGTTTAGCTTAACATACAGATGTCTGTTGGCACCAGCCAACCGACTGGCCTGTGATCCACCATGCAGCACGTTTCCTCTGAAATGTAAGGGAAGTTAGTTTGCTGACAGACAAGAGATGGAGTAAGAAACCACCGAACCAAAAAGGACAAAAAGGACTATGATCCCCAAGAAATAATCTGCCTTTCCTTCAACATACACTCCATGAACGGTTTATGCTGACAGCCAGAGCTTGTCTGTTCATTGCAGATAGCCTTTCTCTTTACCGTAACAACACATATTTCCCTCTATGTAGCCTCTGAAGAAGAAAAGAAATTCCTTTTTTGTCCACAGGGCAGTTGAAAGCTTTGTCTTCCAGCCTGGACAGCATGGTGCAAGGGTGGCAGTGTGGAGGAGTGCCCAAGTTCATGGCAGACAGCATCTGGGCATGATGGAGCCCAAGAGTCTTACGTAGGTTCCTATTCAACAGCATTTCCACTGCAGTGTCTAGCTACGCGTGCCAGGAAGATGTAGACAGACAAAAAAACATCACAGATAATACTAGTTCAAAGCCAAGATAATAGCAGGAGCAGCAAAGTCAAGCTCCACGAAGTTGCCCACAGCCTGATACCTCTCATTCTGAAAAGCAGTGCCTGGAAATGACAGCAGGGTGTACAAAGCACAGGGCACCCCTGGTGCTGGGCTGGATGATACTGGAGCCTCGGCTCTCTGGCTAGTCTCAGGAAGCAGCAGTAGTGGTGGAACAGCATTTACAACAATGATGATTGAGTTTAGGGTGTTTCAGAAAGAATTCAGTATATCCTGCGGGCTTGGGCTGATGTTCCTGATGGATGGGAACCATTCAGGTGAGACCAGAATAATGAATCATTCTTTCACTTACAGATAACTGAAACAATTGGAGCTGGGCAGGCTCCCCATAAGGCTCTTCAGGAATCTGAACCGAGCAGCAGGATGGTTTGGCTAGCTGCTAATCTACCCATTAAGGTAGAGATCAATTTGAAGGCAGCCATTTCCGGGGGGGGGGGGGTGGCTAGAAGTGAGACAGAAACAGGTCAGAGAGCTGAGAGGGCTCAGCTATAGCTGCAAGAGCCCCCCGCAGCGTGACCCCAAACGAAGGCCGAGGGAGGGATTTGGGGCACAGTGCTTTCAAGCAAAAGATACTTGAAATTGCAAACAAAGCTCTTGCTTCTTGTTTGGCCTTTGTTATAAAAGTTCAAGGACAAAGGGGGTCATGCATTCGGTGTTAATCAAGAGCACCGATGTAAGGAATTACCCAGCTCCATCAGCATTCTCATCCCAATGGAACCAACCCAAAATAATTCTCGCCCCAAACCGGTCAGGGCTGTGTAACTGATATGGACAGAAAATAATAACAGTCTATACATTTCTTAAGAAAAAGTTCTTATTTTAAAGACTTTGGTAATAAATACATGCAAGAATTGAAGGCAGCAAAGAGTTGGATAGGCTATTATTCTCCAATCAATTCAATATTTAGGCCTTACTTAAAGAATGCTAATTTTAAATGAGATATTCTTCTGATCATTTCTACAATTGAGAGGATGTAAATTCACATTTGTAATGAATGCTTTTTTTTTTAATATTTGATTGCAGTAATCCAAATGATCCTATTTAATATCAAGGACAGAGCTGGTATCTATTTTTTGATAACTGCTTTGCATAGCATACTCCATACGGTTAAAATTTTTGGAGAACGGTTTTAGAAGACACAACTCTTTGGTAGGACAGTCCTGGTGGCTGGAACAGGCTCCTCCTGCAGACAGGACACTGGAAGGCCACAGAGCTAAAAGTCACAAGTTCCGGGCTTTTTGTATTTTGTCCTAATAATGTTTTACTGCATTGTTCTAACCTCAAGCATGACCTACTCGGACTTCAAAGAATAATTTTACCTGTCTTCTCTTTCTAGCTTTCACCTTATCCTGTTGGCAGAGTTGCAGGTCTTATTCTGGTTCCCAGTCTTCCTGACCAGTTGTATCTCCTCCAACCTGAAAACAACCTTCTTCAGCCTTGCAAGGTACATTCGATTGGCTTCCCATCCTCAAGATGATGAGTTTAAAACCCTACAGTCTTTGGAAAATGAAATTAAAACTTCAGTTCTCAGGACTGTACATGTGAAAATCGCTGGAAAGGAGTTTTGGAGGGCTTTTGGCCAATGCAATTCAGCGTGATGAAAATCCTTAGAAAAAATTAGCTTTTGTATGGTAATTATATGCACTGAGTGTCAATGAGAACGTGTCAGAAATGCTATTTGTTTCTATGTGTAATATGAATAATGATCATTATCAACATTACAGAATGGGGAAAAAGACAAAAAGCAGATATTGCAGATATGTTGGTGATAATGGGCTATTCATAGCAGGAAGATTTTTAAGCGTTCCACATGGTAATATGTAAATACTTCAGCTGAGCAGAGTTTTAGGTCATATACAGTTTTCTTAAGATTTATAAAAAGATGAAGAGTCAGATTTGCAGAAAAGCAGCAGAGTTGCGTGTAGAGCGGATGAGACGCAACACCGTCCCCTGCGACGTCCTCAGGCATCCTGAGCTGAAAGTTACAGCTGGCCAAGCGTCACGTGGAATTACAGGGCAACTGTGCACCTGCTACCCACTACAGTGCTTTATGGTTAATTATTATTATTACTCAGATACTTATGCTGCCTGCAGTTTGTAGATACTGAAAGAATTTTAAGAGGGACATAGTCAGAATTTCTCAGTATAAGATCAGGAGCCAAACATTTCACCTCTAACAGAGGCTTGCTTCATGGCTTTGGACAAAATATCTGCTCTCTCTTCATTCTCTCTGTAAATGAGGGCTAGGATTTGTGTCTCATAGGATGTTATGAGATTAATTTTTTTCTTGTATGCATAAACTGTTTTGAAGTTGGAAAGGTCCGAGTCTTATTTCACAACAGCCTTGCGATTACAGTACCAACGGAGCAGACCCCGTCTCTCCTCGGAAAGGGACAAACAGCTTGGAACTCGGCAAGTACTCTAGCCAGCTAGAACAAATACAATTTTGCAGTCCATTGATTTCCATTTACAATGCCAAGTTTTATTTGATTTATTTTTTTAATATCTACTTGCCACAACACCAACTTCCTTTTTTTTTTTCCTTTTTAAATGAAGTGTCATTGGCACGTGGTCCTCATTAGCCTAGGGATATTTTGGATAAGTTCAGACAAAGGATCAGCAGGCAAACAAAACAGGGCCCTTTGGGACAGTGTTGATAATGCAGCTCAAAATTGTTTTCTCCTTATGTGAGAGACTTTAGGGTTCCTGAGCATATTGGACTACTATATAGCTGCATGGACTATATAGGGAGGTCTCACACATATGTAGTTAGGGCCAGAGTTAAATGTCTGGATCCTAGGTGTTTTTTAATGACTCTTAACAAATAGTGGAAGCAAACGCATGGATGTTACTCAGGAAAAATTATGTCCTCCAGCATGACTCTCCCTGCACTCCCCTAGCACAATGCGGTGCCCAGCGCAGCACCACGAGGCATCAGTCAGGCCAGAATCCTCCTGGCGTTGAAAGGCGGATGCTGGGAGTGGATCCGGCTGGGGGGATCCTCTCCACAGAGCCTGGCTTTGGGCCGTTTCACCAGCTGGACACACAGCCTTTCAGCTTCCCTTCACCTGGTGCGTGGGTCACTGTGACCGTGATTAAGTAGTGCCTGTGGCTACTGAATGAGTGGAGAAGTCTGAGGCAGAGCTGTAGAGAGGGGCCATCCACTGATACCCGCTAAACTGCTGGAAGAAGCAAAGTTGTTGCTGCTAATAGAAAGTACGCACAATACTTACGGGTTGCAAAGAGAATTTGACCTATCAGTGATTAAATATGGGGAAACTTGCACTGTCATTGCTCACACCGACTGGTGCCTATGGGTAAATGGAAGATTGGGCTGTCAGGCTGTCAGCTTCTATGAGCCCTAACTTCCCGCTGAAAGGGAGATGGCCGTTTTCCCAACAACGGCCCCAGCTCTTCCAGTTACAGCCAGTCAAGTCCAATGACATCAAATATTAATCTGGCACAGAACTTGGGCCGTCTGAGTACATTTTATAACCAACAGCATATCAAATCCTTTGGACATGATGACAATCGCTCCTTTGTTGTCACATCAGTCCGTCACTTTAACCCAGATTCTCGGTCAATTCAAAGGAAAGAAAATGGTGCTTCAGAGAACTGACTTCTGCAAAAATACTTTAAAAAAAATGAACAGAAGGAAGGCAGGGCTGAATCTCATCGCAAAAGATCCCACCGTAAAATTAGGAGAAGGCACGAGGAGCCTAGATGACCTTGCAGCAAGAGGCTGTGTTGCTGCTTTGCGCATGGTTTCTCTGCGGGGGCAGACCTCAGATCATCCCAAATCTAGTCTTTGGGCTCGCAGTTAGTTCAGAGCCTGGAGCCTGATCTGTTTGCGTAACAGCATTTGTATTCCTTTTATAACAGAATTTCTGTCTGTATAAAAGGAATTTCTCGCACTATGAAAGCAGACAGACTTCAGAAATCAGATTTCCCAAGTGGGGCATGAAAGGGCAGGTCCGAGGCACCACTCTCTTCCCGTTGTTGTTGCCTGACCACAGCCCCCTGTCATCTGGCAAGCAGATGCCACCTTTAGAGGGACTCTGTGTCAGGCAGCCCCTGCCTACGTTTCCTCTACCATCCAGAACTGGCACGATGCTTTGATCCACCTCTGATTTTGCCCGTTGAATGTGCAAGGGAAAAACAACTCTTAAGATGGTTAGCAGAGGGCTGCACGTACAAGCATAGCACATTAGCAAAACCACTCCAATTAGCTGGGGGGAAAATAAAATGACAAAAAATGAGAAGAATTTTGCTCTTCTCTGCACAAGGCTAGAGCCAGTGAGAGAAAATTATAACTTGACCCTAAATTATTCAAAGGAAGCAAAGAAATAAAATGTAGGCTAAAGAAGAATTCTGCCTAATAACTTCAACCAAAAGCCAAAGCACATCAGCATATGAGGACTGGAAGATACAATGAAATAGCTGGAAGGAAATTGCATGCCTATAGTCCTGGAGGAAAATGCAGGAACTCACTTAATTTAGCAATAAACCTGGCATGACTCAAGAAAAGGGACGTTTCTACGCTGTATTGGCACCACTCCTGACCTCATCATGTGCAGAATAGATGGCTCAAGGAACAGGTAAGGAATAAAAAGAAGCTTTTTAAATGTTCAAAGGGATTCTGCCACGGAGGGTTTTTCAGAAGGTGTTTCTGAGTGGGAGAAAGGGTGGGAAGCCCAGCGTGATCGTTCTCGTTTGCAGAGTCACCTATTAAATGATGCTTAGAGGCATAGAGTACCCCAGCTATGGAAAATAGCATACTTCAGGGTGTTTTCTTTGAGAGATCAGCATGCGTTCTTTCAGGTGCCTCCCCAGTCCTTGGAAACCTGGTAAGAACCTTCAATATTTGCAAAGTTGGGTATGAGTACCTGAGCCTAAGCTGTTTATTTTTAAGAACAAAAAGTCAGCAAATAAAGAAAAAATAGACCCAAACATGTTGCTTAAGGATGCGTCAGAGAACTCGTGACGTCATGTGAAAAGCTACTTCTGTGGCAACAGAGTGCAACATCCAAATGCATTGCTAAAGCTTGAAAGTAGTTACTGCCTGGAAGGCTTGGTAATCTTGTGTCTGTTCTAGCAAGCGTCTGAATGTGCGCACGCATGTGCATGGGCCATCTTAGCTGCGGGTTCCCTTTGGGGCAGCTTCAGCTGCGAGGACGAAGACAAAATAAGCAGAGGGATGGGAAGACCCTCTCAATCCTTGGTATTTTCATTACAGGGGTTTGCAGTATAGTAGTCAACGCAGCAGTTATTCTGCAAGTGGAGAGCTCTGGTCTAGTGCTGTCAGTCTCACACCCACTGTTCATGAACACCTACATTCCCCTTAAAAATAAAATTGTAAGAGCTCTGAATACAAATGTGCAGAAGTTTTACTATTTAAAGGGATCTTCTGGAGAAACTATGTCAAATATGTAGCTCTTTCTAAAAAGCCGGTGGCACCCAGGATTACTCGCTCTGCAGCCACTGCCTCCTGCGGCCAGCTGGTAGATGGATGAAGCTCACATCCCGCACGGGGCTGCCCCTTCTCCCAACCGCCCGCCTCCTGCCGTGCTCCGCTTTGTTACTGCTTAGGCAAAAGCATTTCCCAAAGTTGGGAAAGGACTGGACATTGCCTGGGTTTCCAGCTGGCGACCTCAGCGGTTGCCCTGAGTGAGTGAAGCCGGTGGCCTGAGGATGAGCGGCCGGAGGTGCGGGAGGCGTGCTCGCTGCCCGGTGATGCTCCAGCAAGGGAGAAGCAGCCAGAGGGAGAGCAAATACCACTCACCCCAGCAGCACCGCTTTCGGAGGCTCTGCTGGCTTCAGAGAAGTGCGGTTGCAGAATATCACATGCTATGAGGGTCATGAAGGCGCGGGGGGAGCGGAGGGAGGGCAGGATGATGGAGGATGAGAGAGCAGGCACTATGCCAGGTCTGTAGTGCCCCGTTCGGGTGCACCCTTGTCCGTCTCCCTACTCGGTGTATGTTGGCCAGTTTTAGCGGGCGTTTGCACAGTTCTCAGCTTCCTGAAGAAGTGAGGTGCCTTCCACTTAGGCATGGCTGTTATTTAAGGGGGAAAGCAGGGTGTTTGAACAGGAATGAAGGCATTGACACCTGATTTCCCCTTTGCCAGGTAAGCTGATAGCATGAATGGGATGTTCACCCAGTCGCAAGGCATTAAATATTTCTGCTCTGACTTATGCCAGCTCCGAGCTATTGTCAGAAGAACCATTAGCTGCTTACATCAAGACATTAAGCCAAATCCTGGCTCCAGTGAGGTCAGTCATAAAACTCAAATTGATTTCAGTGGCAATAGAAATTAGTCTCCTAGACAGTGGTCAAGAGGGAGGAATTAGATGGCAGTTTGCTATCGTCTAACGGTGCAAGTTTAAGTTAAATTCACTCAAGTTTGGGGACATACTGAAACTCTGCGTGTGAGCGTGCACGCAGCACCAAGGCATGGCAGTTAGGGCACCAGGAGAACCTAGTGTTGGTGGCTACTGAAAGTGACTGCCAAACTTCCCTGCAAATCCAGATGACTATTTCAGGAACTGAGGGACACGGACATCCTGGCTCCCAGCTGTGTATGACTGACAGTGTCTTGCCTATCTCACATTGCTTAGCGCTGATGTTCTGTTCATTTAATTGCTCAACCAGACAGAAGTATTATATGGTGTTTCAGAATGCTTTATTACAATCTATGCTTTCCAGTAATTACCTCGCTCATTCTGTGATAGCAGTGGGGGAAAAAACCCTCCCCCCGGGTATTTCCTACCCGTAAGAACACACACCTCTCAGAAATGGCGTTTGTGCCTTTTTTTGTTTCCAGTTGCATTTAGATTAGTCTCAAGAAGATGTGCAAATCTCTGTGAGTGTTCCTCAACATACATTTACATTTCTCCCTTGCTTTTAAGGAAATGGGCGCGGACTGCATTTTTTTAATTTCCTATTTGCTTTTTGTTTCTCTGTAATTTCTTACTGTGACCACTTTTTAAAAGCATTATTTTCAGACTCCCTCCATTCTGCACACATATGAAATAAGTTACATGTTGTTCTATCCCTACCCTGGACCTAAATTTTACATTCATCTTTAATCTGAACTGTGTCCTCTTAGACTACATAAGAAAATCTACAATTCAGAGTCATGTCTGCTCTCCTGTGTTAATTCAAGTCTTAGATTTATTATAAATACTGTATCCATTTTTAGAGAATGATCCAATCTGCTTGTATTTCCTGATCTTTCTTCTCATTCCTTTGTTATGATATGCTTTCTGCCTCTTAATTGTTTCCATATGAAATGGCCTCAGTCAAAGCGGTTGCAATGAATAACGTGCATTTCAGAATGTCAGCATTTTGGTCACAGCAGATAACCACGAGCCGGTTACTCCCTGCGTAC